TTGCAAGTAATAAATTATTACAGACTACAGAAACCTCATCCCGCCCCACTGACCTTTCCCTTTTTCCCTCACACAACACATTTCGAAGTCAACCATTTTTGTCAAATCCTTAAAAGCTGGGTAAAAGAACTTCTATATTTACTGTAACATTATCAGTTTAAGAAAAGAGTGAATCTTCTTTATCATAAATACTGTAGGGTGTTGTCAATCAGAAATGGTCAGAAAATACTGAGCCACAAGATTAAAAGTTGAAAAAATTAAGTCTGTTGCACGTTTCCTTGTGTTCCCATTGCAAGCTGTCATTACCTGCCCACAAGAATGATCAAGAACCTGTGCTTTTTATGAAAAATTAAAATACAAAATTTTCCTCTTAAATAGCTTATTTCTCTCCCATCTTCCCTCCTCTGTTCAGGTGAAAAGGTATGAACCACACAAAGGCTAAATACTAAAGTTTTTTCCTTTGATAAACATTTTGATGACAATCTTTCTGTAAAAATCTAAGAATAAATTGAAAATAATGGAATAAATATGAAAGTTGTTTTTCAATCCAAGTACGGAGATGTCAGCTGGCTCCCTAAAAGACTAGGGGGTTTTTTTGTTTTATTTTTACTTTAGGCACAGCATCACTTTAATTGACAGACCTAATTAACAGAAGGACCTGCTGGGCACAATCTGAATTATGTTCTAGCTGAAAGAAATGGAGATGTTTGCCTCCTAGTTATGCCTGTAACATATTGCAGAAGCTGCCAGCACAGCCCTGACCCATCCTGTATCTGTTCAGCAAACAACAGAGTGCACAAAGCTGTGAATTGGACACAATTTACAAGCACTATAAACACAATAAAAAAATCAAATTCAGGGCAATAAGCTTAGTGTTTGAGGGCTAAAAGGGCATCAGAGCCTTTGGGGGTTTTCTCCCACACTTTCTGTACCTAATGCCATGGGATTCTAACACGGATGGTTGTTTCCACATGACAGCGTGTGTTGGGGGGAGGAAATCACTTCTCATGTCACTCATCCTGTTCAGTTAGCTGTTGTCAGGTGTTTTTTCTAGCATCTTTGTTATTAAAGTATCTTGAAGGCTAGAACAGTCATATGCAGCCATTAAAGCTACTAGCAGCTCAGGACGCGTCTGCAGGCCAACAGTACCTTCTTGGGAGACAGTTCAAATCTGATAAACCTCTGTATGTGAGACCATACCTGTCTAAGTTTTTTTTCTGCCACAGACAACTAGGGAACAAGGCACTAATCTTGATGTGGATAAAATACCAAACATTGCAATCATTCGCAGGAAGGCAGATGGAGGCCTAAGCAAACTTCACCATCAAATCCTTGAATATATAGTCACAGCTGTGACTGCAAATAAAAACTGGAAAAGGTTCATGATAGTGAGGGTGGCTGCAGGGCACTGCTTGCCTGTGGAATACAAGGGACTCCCTACTGCAGTTTCCTTGAAACAAGTTATATTGACAAGTTACATATTCCTTCTATTCTGCTGTCTTGCAGCTGTTAAAAAGCAAACAAAAAACACACAAAACAACCCATCTTTTGGAAATCTGTGTATATGAAGCTTTATGTTTGTGACTCCTTCCCTCTCCCCCCATCCCTTTCAACTCAATAATGTTATATATCAAACATCATGGTCTCAAAGCTCAAAAACTTCCCAACACATCACAAGAGGCTAACCCTAGCTAAAGCTGATCTAGAGACTGAAGAGTTTGAGAAACAACAGAGCTAGATGGAAATCCAGCAAAAGGCAACTTCAGAGTTTGATTCCATTTACATTAGGTGCCACATGAGCATTATTATTCAGTCATTAAGTATTGCCTGATTGATGGTATTTATTGCTGCACCTTTAAATCAAGGACTATATATATGGAAGTAAAGGGGACTAAGTCTTACATCTCCAATGAAGCAAAAGTAATTTTGAAAGTGATATTGAAAATACATATAGGTTAGACAAACAACCTTCAGGAATAACATAGGTATTACTTATTTTGACTTGCAGCAACAATACCAACTAGATAATCTTTGCAAGTCCTTCCCAGGTTTATATTCTATGACTCTATAATTACCAGGTAGTTCATCTTCAAAAAACTGTGAAGAAGCAGCGTTTTAAGATATGCAAGACAAATTGCTTATTGGATGCACCTGACGATGCTGATGAAAAGGAAAAAAAGATAAAAGTATAGGAATAGCTCCAACAAGAGATAAAGATGAAAACAGAAGAAATAGCAGTAATAAGGTAATCAGAACACACACATACTGAAGAAAAAAATAGAAATATTATATTTGCTAGGAAACAAGAAGGAGTTTGAGGAAAGAACGACAGGTCATCATCAAAAGAGGACGTAGATTCCACGGGGCAAGATGCATTAAAATCATGGGATCAAGGGAAAGCAGGGAAGGTGATAGCTTGATAAAGTCTAGATGAGGATGAAAAAGTGAGTGTTAAGTGAAAGACTGAAACAATTAATCTGGTCAAATAATTCATGAGATAGAGGATATAGAGGGTGAGTCAAAAAGATGAGGAAACATTTATATATTTTAAGAAAAAGAAAAAATTTGGTAGAAAAAGTGAAACATAATGTTTTTTGGTAAGATATAAGTCTAGATAGACAGAGGAGAGGCAGGTAAATGTAATACACTAACAAATAACTATTCATGCTTTTTGATGTCCTCCCTACAGAGATTGCAAGCTATTAAAGTCCTAAATTATACAGTTTCATCTCTTTCGTCCAAGCTGTAGAAACACATACTTTTAGCTCTACAGATCCCTGGTTTGATCCCTAATGCGTCTGCCATGGGAACGGCGATCACAGCATTACTAACAAGAAAAAGGTAGGTGCACTAAAGGTGGAAGTGACAGAGGAGGATGACAGAGCTCAGTCAGTTTAGTCATATAAAGGAAATCATCTTTCTAAAGAGAAACTACTCTGTGAGGCTAAAAGAAGGTGCAGTCATGCTGCATGACCTGTAGCTGAGTTTACGTGCCCACATTTACCACGTTAATTGGGTCTCTGCACAGCTCTGGCTTTGCAGAAACTGAAGGGAGAAAATACATAAGGCCACTTGACACTACTTGTCTGCTGGAACACCCCAATCTCTGATACGATCAAACACAAAGCGACACTTCTATCGCATGAAACTTCAGTGGCTGATGGTGTGCCATTTAATCCTTATTTAGGTGCCATCAGATAAAATACTAAGGAACACAGCAGTATGTAACAGTTATTTACATTGCTCTGGAAAGCACTGCACATGGCAGCTTATTTGCACCATCTGCTACAGAAATGTCAATCAAGGGAATCAAGGTAGACAGCTAGGGGTGTCCACATTGAGAAATCACTTAGGAGAAGAAAGAAATTCCAGTGGAAAAAATCTATAAAAATGAATAGCTTATGCTGTCAAAAGGACTAAAGCTTTTGAGGAAGAGCAGCAGCTGGCACAAGAGCAGCCAATCTGAGTTTCCGTAACTGTCCTGAATTCCCCTGCAGCCAAGCAGCCCCCTCTTTTCATGCTCAAGTGTCTGACAGGTGGCCTTATTTTAAATCTAATAGCAACCTCTTAGGGTTTTCAATAGCACAAGTGGCTGGTGAAAAGGACAAGAAATATCCCTTAAATAAACTATCCATCCAACAAAACAGCCTTAGCAATGGCTGAAATTAAGGATAGCTACCTCCTTAAAAATTCACAGCCTCAATAGCAGCATTCAGCTGACTATCTGTAATGCACAATTTAGCTGTCACCCAGGAAATGTAGCTTGCACAGGCTTGGCATGAGCTGCAACTCTGCCTCCGGTTCGGAAGACCTTGGATGAGGTTCATCTCACCTTATGGTATGTGTCTATCTTAGGCTGGGACAAACTGTGCTTGAGAAATGCCAGTTGAGAATGCCTTGAGAAATGATGATAGAGGGAGTCCAGAAAGCTAAATGGAGACACTGCAGAAGGAAATAATAGAAAGGATAACTTTTTAAAGAAGGGAACTTGGACTCCAGAGAAAGGTTTTGATAGCATATGCACATATGCATAGCAGATGCACTTAATTCACTCTGGGTAACTTAGCCTTCTCACTTAAAAAGCATCAAGGATAGGCATATCTTGATGAATTTGGATTGTTTTAATCCAATATTACTAACAAAAATATACACGCTATTAGCAAGCCTATACGTTCAGAAAAGATTACTAGAGTAAGGCAGTCCTCTTGCACTGATGCATACTGATACAAGCAGTGATTCGTATTCACACCTTTTGAGGAATAAGACTGGAATTGAGTCTTTCAGTCCAATTATGTAGAACAGGCCGGTTGAGAGAGGGAAAAAGATCGATAGTACTTAAGTCTAAACCTCAGAGCTGGAGGAGAAAGAACAATGACATTTTCAAACTGTCAGAAGCAGAATTAGGTAGGACATTTGAGACCATCTCATATCAACAGGTACTAAGAAGCTCAGAGTCACTACTTCAGATACGACAGCCAATACACAAGGCCATGCTGATTATAGGAGGGAAGAAAATCTAAGCATGGACCCAAAAGAACACCAAAAGGATCGGAGAGTGAAAAGCAGTTACAAGTAGTTGCACACTGGCCAGGTTTATCAAACAAGCTTTGTCAGAAATGCAGCCTGTGCCTTAGCTTCCTGTAAGAGAGTCCTACAAAGATAAGCAAAGAGTACGCTAATCATCACGTTCTGCTTTGAACCCACACTCAAATCCAGGTCCATTTGACTCTTCAGTCTTTTAATTTGAGAAATACCAGTTCTGTCCTTTGAACCTACAGTACATTGCACCTCAAATTCTCCATGACAGTTTAAAAAAGGCATACAAATTACAGGCAATCATTTTCCTTCCTGATATCTGTACAATTCAGTTGAAGAAAGAAGAGCCAAGTACCACACACCATGCCTGACATCAGTCTGTTCAGTATCATGGTAAGTATAGATCAGCATTTCCCAGTTTCTGCGAAGTCTAGCATCCTTTAAAACCCACAGAATAAACTTACCCAGTTTTCAGGCTGACCAAGGCATCTTCAACTCCTTTCTGATTATACTTGGTCATGTAAAGGTGCATATCTGGGTAGTTGTTTCTGATATTCCTCTCTGTGCTTCCATTTGGAACAGTTCCAAATCGAAAAGGAGGTGAATAATCATGCGGCCTTTGAAACTAGAGACAAAAGGGAAAAACAAAGTTTTTCAGGCACTCAAAATGGGTGGCTGTGAAGATGTCACTTAAGCACAGAAAATCTAACAGGGCAATTTCAGGCTGAAAAAAACCACAAGTTGTATAAGCTGCCTCAAACTTCTTCCAAGCATATATTTAGGGTTAATTCAGTTCTACTGTAATAGAAACTGTGTCTTCACACCAGCTTAACTATACAGAAACATCTACATCCAAAGTAAAATCAGCTCAGTTTTGCCACTCCGACGTGACTTTCTCCTGGGCACTGTAATACGGCATAAGATACTGGAAGATGTTCCTCATCTGCCAACAACTCCCTAGAAAACCAAAAATACAAGAAGACATGCTGCTATTTAACAAGATTAAAAAAAGAAAACCAATATTTTTGCTAATACTCATTTCACACCTCTGCCAGTCCGAGCTAATACTCATTTCACTGAGTATATACTCATGACACTGAGGCTCTCCACAGATAAAGAAGGCCAAAGGAAGCTCTTCACTGCTACTGGACAGGGAGCGTAACACCAGCTCTGCAGGATCCCTGGCGGAAGCTTGTGCCCAGGGCAGGAAGGGTGAGCTTGGCAGCTGCCCTTCATCCACTGCAGAGGTTCAGGGGGAACCACAGTCTCCCTGCATCTTCCCAAATGCTGCAGCAGCTACACCACTTGACACGAAAGAGCTTCTGCAGCTTTCACACCTCCGATCCTGGTCCCTGTTTACTTCTACAGTTTAAAACTACAAGCTATTTGCTTGTGCTCACATACATTTATTCTACAATTTTACCCTCCATATCTCTCTTACATCAGCACAAACCAGCCAGGGACTATCTCCAAAGGATTAGCAACAGCTCAGGGCACATTCAGGTTTCAGACTTGGAAATCATTCTGAAAATCTCGCATAAACAGACCTGAAGTTTGTGTATCCCTTTTCAAAATGTCCCTCTAACTATTAAGCGACACTTCAGGACTAAGTTAAAATGTTTCTTTAAGAATTACATTAAAAGGCCACTCAAATTAGAGGAGCTATTGGCTAATGAGGAAATTCAGTTGAGCATTAACAAAAGCAGGCACCCATGACTTCCGTGGTAAAACGCAGTCTGTTATTACTGCTGAAGTTAGAACAGCAATCCGGACACCCTGTGCTGCCAGAGACAGCCTTTGGGCTACATATGTAATACTCCTCTTTTCAAAGTTTGGTCTTGGGGCATTAAGAATTCCCATTATCCAGTGCAATTTTGAAATAGAATACAAATAGGCTTATACAAAAAGTGGGAGTATTTTCAATTCCATCAAACCTTGACTGTGATATTACCGCCGCAACAATATTTTCATATTACAGAACCACAATTAAATGCTTCATTTTAATTAAACATATTTTGACAAAGCTTAAAGGAATGCATTTTATTTTTGTCTACTCCTTTAGATAACAGACTTCTTACTTTTCTCACTTTCCCTTTTCACAGCTTTACTATTTAAATGATTATTTTGCTACTACCTTACACATTCTAATTGACCCAAACACTAAAATTATACTGCATACTAGTCACGGTTTTTAGTCTGTCTTTGCTCTTTCCTTTCTGTGCTTCCTATGCAGCACTGAGGCAAACCTTGCTCTTAAATATATGCCCAGAGATTCTACTGATGTAGGTGTAGCATGCTATTAATGTCATTTAAATATGCAGATAATTAATTTCTTAAGTAGTGAGATGGCTTCCAGTAACTCCTAATGTCTGCTTCAAATTTTCCTATAGGCTGAACTGTAGAAAAAACTTTTAAAAAATCAACACCACATTCAAGACCTGTAAAAACTGCTGCTGTTCATGTGGTTGACATTTTTTGGAAATTCAGCTGAGGTGAGCCTTCTGCAAGCTTAACTCATAACACTGGAGCATGACAGGAGAATTGGAGGAATGAGAAGATCATGGCGGAATATCTTGGCAATTTACAAATTGACTTTTTGTCTGAATATTCTCAACTTTTCAAGTACATTCATATGGGTGAAAGTTGTTGTCAAGGGAGGAGGAATCCTCACATAGGAAGCCTGAAGGAATCAAGGCATCAGTTCTAAACTGAACATTCATGTAACTCATAAATATTTCTGCAGGAGAGCAGAGATTAATAAAATGGACTTGTTCATTCGAAGACCATAGGGGATAATAAGCAATTGAAGCAATCAAATAACTCTTATATGGATTTCAAATACTGGCAATTCAAACAGACAAATAGTTCCAAGCACCATCCATTAATGGGAGCTTCTTGGCACCTCACATTCAGCCAACAACTTTTAGGAGTCATGAGATAATTTTAGGAAATCATTATTTGCTACTACTGCCTGCTCATAGACAAACTGTAAATGAGAAAACAAAGATAGAGGTAATTTTTTTTTTTTTTTTAGCAATAGTGCACTAATGTGTGTATAAAGGTTCAAGGTGTATAAAGTTCTCATCAATATTTTTAAATTTATCTTCTAAGACCTGACATGCCTTGGAGAAACATATAAGCTCTACGACTGCAGCAAAGAGCCATGTGGCAGGCGTGAGAGGAAATATGAAAGCATCAAGTCTATACATGCGCTCATTTTCCCTGAAGCCCCATGATGGGAATTAAAATATATCATGTCTGCCAGGAGGCAATTTTCTTTCTAGATACTTTGTGAAATGTTGAAAAAAAATTTTATTGTTAATAAAATCCTTAAATTAAAATAAAATAAAATAAAATCCTTAATGCAGAAGCCCCCTGTTTGACTCATAATTGCAAAGAGATCTGCTGTTATTCAGAAGACTAAACAATTCATTCTTGTTTCCCCCTGTTCTGCCTGCTGCTAGATCTGTGGCGCTCACAGTAACAAAACTCCAATCCTAGAGATCGAGGGTTCCAATAACAGATGTCTGAGCTGAGAAAACAGTCCTATTACTTTTGGCTTGTTTTATCTATATGCCTTAATAAAACTGATAATTTCATTAAAGTCAGTAATGTGATCTTTCACAAGCATTAAACACTGAGTTAATCTGATGATTTGCAGGCTTGCCAAAAAAGGTTGCTACTCAGAGCAGCTGTTAGTTACTGTTCTAGGGTATTTTAAGGAACCATGGCAAAAAAATATTAAAATAGTAGAAAATAGTAAATATTCTCCCTCAACTAACACAAATTTTAATGGCAATTATGGCTGGTTTGGGGTGACAGAAAAACACCCACATTTAAACTTTATGCCTTCTTCTTTTACCAGATGGAAAGTGCTCGCATCCTGATTTCAGCTGGTTTTTGAAAAACACGACTCCTCCAGTCAGTGATTCCAAGACTGTTACTATAATTGTCTGTTACTGAAAAGCAATCAATATCTACGTCTGGCAACGCTGAAAAAGACAGTATTAGACTGTGAGGGTCTAATACTGAAATGGAGAGAGGGATTGGGGTAAGAGGGTCACCCTAAATAATCCATCATCCCCTGCTGCCTTTTGATCTCACTCTGGTTCTAATATGGCACAGACATATCTGTAAGCAATTACAGAGCATGTGCCATGTATCTTATTGCATATAAAAATAAAAACAGCGCCACAAGAATACTGTGAATCTTGCAAAACTAAGGAATCTGTAAAAGGCATATGTCAGGCTGCCTATTAACCTTGGATATAATCCTTAGCCCGCATGCACGTGGGGCACTTCTCAAACGCAACTGTGTGGAGGAAGCAGGGAGACAACAGCTCTGCAAGACAACTCAGTCCACCGCTTTCTACTCTCCTTTAGTAATCTTATCTCTATTTCTTTTCATGAAAAAGGCATAATACGGTCTCAAAAGTAACGGCTTCTATGAATGCCTGCTTTGCTGGATGCTTTTGGACTCATTTTCTGTACCTTTTTTATGAACACAAAGCTTTTAAAAATCTTTTACGTATACAAGGATGTCAAAATATAATTTTCTTCTCGTCTTCTGAATCATTCGAGTTTATGAACACCCACCCCTAGTCACTCCAGTACATGCTGTGCCATGTATTTCTGGGTGTCATATAGATGGCATGGCATTCAAAAATTCATTGGCAACATGATGAAGGATGAGGAAACTCTCAAGAGGTCTCAAAGCCAAGAACAAGGGTAAATACCATGTCGTTTTATGTTCAGCAAAACAGACAGGTGATGCTAGAGTGTTACACGTTTCTTGAATGGAAGTTGTTGAAAGCTGAGGATCAGGGATGACTGCTCAGAGAAGGGTTTTTTCCTGGCTTCTCTTTTCCTCCATAATCCATCATGCGTGGACGTGGACTGAGAAACCCCAATATCTCTACCTAGCAATACTTTATTGCATTGACAAAAGAGTTTGGCTTTTCAGTTGTGACAGTAGGAAAAAGTGGGGGGACGGAGAATAACGAAATGATTTACCCACCAAGCATTAGTTTGTGAAGGCCAAATTAACTAATACAGATAGTAAAGCAATCAAGTTTATGGATTGAAATTATGCTCAGCTACTACAATTTTTTTAATTAACCAGAAGGATACCTTTATTAAGTCCCTAGCTATTTCCCTATTTTAAAAAATTGTCAACTTCTCAAGAAATTCTTGAACTTGTAGATATTATTTCTTTAAAATTAAGTTTACTCATGCCCACTTCCGTCCCTTCTTGCAGGCCCCTGCCCGTGAGTGTTTTGCCTACAGCAAGGATCAGAGTTCTCCAGTGAAAAACTCCTAAGAATTCCTGAACTATTCTACTACTAACAGGACATTAAAGCAACACAACAAAGAGGGAAGAAAAATAATTTAACATGAATCATATTATATTACCATCAATTGCCCCTAATTATTTTAAATGTTAAAAATCTGAACAAGCTCAGGATTGTAGAAGAGGCAAAAACTGTGTACAACTAGAAGAATAGTTGGAAATAAAGGTAACAGATCAAATGAATGATAAGAAGATTGCACAAAAGCAGGTGCTATTTTCTAAAGTTTTTTTCTATTTTTATTTTACTTATTTTGAAAATCAAATTCTCCCTAGCTGAAAGAACAGAAAAACGACAAAAATAAGGAAGTCACTAGCCAATGGCTACTGATCAAATGTGGAAATTTTTCCCAGCCCACAGGCTCTGCAAAGCCTGTGGGCTGGGACAGAGAGGTGGATGGGGTGTACCAGCAGAACCGAAAGCCAAGGCTGGGTCAGGTGCAAGCCAAGTCCTACCAAAACCAGGATCTCCCAGAAAAACATCTGTGCTTTGCACAAACAGGAGAAAGGCATTTTTCAGTTCCTTCTCTTTATTTGTTTTAATCCTCAGGAGAATAATACCTTTGATCTATCCCTAGGTATATTATTTTAAAATACAGGTATTTTTAATAAACTTCATGCTCTTCCAAAGGTTTTCTCAACAATGTAACTTCATAAAAACAAAATTACCATCCCTTTGTTTTCTTTTTTTCTGTCTTCGTGCTAGCCATGCTTGCAATTCATGCTGTGATAATTCAAGAGAATGCTCAAAGGCTAGTCATAAAAAACAGTTAAAACAAAAAGCAGACACAAGGCTATTTCAGTTGTCGCCTTCTTTTGAATAACAACTTTCTTTATTTTCTGTCCTTTAAGATAAAGCCCTTGAGAAGTTCTCCCCTGTGCTATACTCTATTTAAATATTACTTCTGAATGTCAATATTTAGTTTCATTTTAAAATAACTGGGCACAATCTTGAAAACAGAGTGCCCTTCGTGTGCTTTATGCATATCTATCAGAACAATAATTTTGCAAATGGACTTTTTCCACTCTGTGCAATAGCGCCATAACAAAGCAGTCACACAAATGAAATAAAAATTAATTAATTGTAAGGACTCTGATTTATAAACCTATTGATTAAAAGTCACAAGAAAGTACAAAGATCTGGGAAGCACACTTCCAGCAGAAGAAAGCTTGAACAATATGCAAAACCAGACTATGTATTATTTGTCAATTTGTGCCAAACTTTAGTAGGCTTTAAGTGAGCTATCGCCGCTTATCAGCTGTGGCAGCTCACCTATGACAGCTATCACAGCTCAAAATGTGATTCTTACCAAAAGATTCTTGAACCAAAGAAAGCCACTTCCACAAACGCATCCAAATTCTGCGACTTACACTGGGTAATTTACATATCCACTTTCGAGTGCTATCACAAAAACCAAACTTTCTTACCTGTTTAACTTTCCTATTTATTCTTTCTGTTTGAGATAGGAAAAACTTTCCAACGTCCACAGAACATAGGTATCACCTGATACCATTTCTCTTTGCATGAAAAGAGAAAAGACTTTGCTTCAGTTCCATTCACTGGTTTCAGATAATTACTGGATAGTTGTTTTTATTAACGTTTTGTCAATTAATACATTACTAATATTCTATGTAGATGCATTTAAATAATTTTAAACACATCTTTCACGTATTCACGTTGATTTTTTTTTCATTTTTCAAACTAGGTATATTGGTGAGTTACTTCTTTTAACCAAACATGAATCGATTTCCATGACAAAATAAATGTATTTTTCAAGTAATAAAGTCACCTTTGAGAAGGTAACACAAAGTCTTTGAAATTAGTCAGATCTTGTCATGCTCTGGGTCTTAGGCTTTTAAGTAAAGGGTTACACTAAGAATTAAACTATCCAGTTTTATTACCTTGCTCAGAGTTTTTTTAGTACACATTCACAGAATCAATTGTGAAGAATGGGAAAATGGAGACTGTCCTCTTTGTAGCCAAAAGACCTACCTTTTTATCACTCAGTCCAGTCACTTGGTCAACAAATTCCTCTTGAATCATAAATGCAGCCAGGTTGGCAGTATAACTAGCCAGGAAAATGACAGCAAAGAAGGCCCAAACTGACACCATGATTTTACTAGTTGTCCCTTTGGGGTTTTGCACAGGCACAGAATTGTTGAACACCAAGCCCCAGAGTAACCACACTGCCTTTCCGATGGTAAAGGATGGTCCATGTGGATCTGTAATTGCAAAGAGCAGTGATTTCAGTTACAATTAAATTAAACCTTGGCAAGATACCCTACATAATAACAACAAAGTACTCACAAAGACATAGTTAAAAAATATTTCAATACTTATTCACTCTACTCCCGATGGAATCTATCATAGGCACTCTCTACTGTAATGACATTTCCATATTTGTTAAAAAATTATTTCAGCAGTTTTCTATAGGAAAATAACTTCAAATGCTTTAAAACAAAAACTGAAAGCATGCACCAGATCTAGGTTTGGAAGAGATGTAGACTATGCTATCTCTCTTGCAGCAAGATATGTGCCACAGTATTGTCCCTTTCAGTCTTCCATGCCAGCTGACATGTAAAATGGAAAATTGTGGGGTTAATACTTAAGAATTCAGTTCTAGTATTTTTCTCATCCAAATTATTTTTTGTAATCTCTAGTCTTCCAACATTATGCTTTTTTAACATTGTGTACCCTCAGATAAGCATAATTAAGATCAATATGGGATAATATTTCACCCACATTTAAGTAACTCCCTACCCAGAGAAATCAATCAGTAAGTCAACATGAAGGAGCTAATCACCTAGATAACTAATTTGCAGTGAAGTGGACTAAGGCTGCCTCAGATGTACTGTGTTAGTTGCACTGGCTTTAGCTGCACTGCTATTACAGGCAAAAATCTGGCCCAGGTAATCCATGCAGTTCCTTAATATTTGTTATTGCTGTTTTCAGTCAGCTTTAAATTCATTCAAAAGCAAGAACAAGCAGTCAGCATAATGCCTTCATTCCCATATAGTGCCACAAGTGGATTACCAAAACATTACCAACCAAAAAGGGCTTATTTGTACAGCCTTCTGAGAAAAAAGGCAAGACTATTCTTACCCGACAGTAGGCAACTACAGTGCAGACATGACATATGACTAGTTATCTAGATTCCCTTTATAGTCAATATAGAGGAATAGGTCTCCCCTGAATCTGAATCATCTGACCTTTTTATAAGTATCTATTTTTCAATTAAATGGCAATTTAGACAAGAAGTTCAGATGCAGGCACCTGCAATACTGTCCCCTTCCTTTCTCCTTACACTCTAGGGACACGCACTAAGAATCAGATTTAATTATACTTCCTTAACTCATTCTCTATTCCTCTGATTTACAAGAACTTACATCAATGTAATAGAGGATTTGCTATTACTAAACAAAGCAATAAACAGAAATATTCACAATGGAAGAAATAAATAGACTTAAAGGGAATCTTCTAATAGAATAAACCCAAAGTGCACATACTTGGTGCATGTTCTCATTTCAGTAGAACCACTCACTAACATAGTGCAAAATTTTCATGATACAATCAAGCACAACAGCTTAGATTATCTTCCTTCTTTTTTGCAAAAGTGCTGTATAATGGAGCTGGCTCGTGGTTTATGAAACTACCCTTCGAGGCCATTTACGACTGAGCTGATACATGGCTAATGTGTATTTTCTGAGCAGCAAGATAAGAAAAGTATATGCCAAGGAAATAGAGTATAAAGTTCTGTTTATGTCACTGGAGATAGTAGTAGTAGTACCACTGAGCTCCATCCTAACAAAAAATGCCTAGGAAAGGTAGTAATCTACATAGAAAACTCCCATTTATTTTAAATTTCCCGTGTTTTAAATGAATGGCAACTGGATTTAAGGTAAGTTTCTAGAGACAGGTTAGGATGGTATAGTGCCATAATATGCCTTTGTAGCTATAAGTACACTACATAATCAATTCTAGCACATGAAGTGGCACAGGAAAGGAGAATAGCCTAGCCCCTAAAACCCTAACATGCACATACACCTCTGCTTTTTCCTTCCTAAGTATGGTGTTTGTCATTATTCATAGACCAGCACCAAAAATGATTTATTAAATACTTTAATAAGGTAACAGAATTTATTATTGGAAACAGTGACCAGAAGGTTCTCTAGGCAATTACTGATGTGTGTTTTAATTGCACATTCCTAATTTTTAAAGGTGTCAAGTCAGGACTCACTCAGTGGAAATCATAGGCTCTCAAAATTAAAAGAAGTAAAACTAATCTTATTTTGATATTATTTTAAGAGGGGAGAATTTTGGCCATGAGCAGATTCATAACTTTTCCATAACAGTATTGGGCTTTTTTCCCCCTCTGAACATAATTAACCTACCTAAAGGTAAGTAGCTGATGGACATTAAAGTCTACTGAGGTTCTTCTAGGCTTTACAAAGTGAAACTAAAATATCAAAGACGTGGCAGGAAATTGAGCGAAATGAGTGTAAATACTGCCCCTAAATGACTATTTTTTCCTGGTGATTATCACACAGATTCTCTGAAGTAATATTAAATATACTTTTTCTGAAGAAAGACAGTCTAACCCTACAGAATAATTTTATTTTGGACAGTGGTTACAAATGTACCAGTTTACTGAAATCGTAAGATCATCTGATCATTAGGATAATTTCCCTTTTCAGGCAACAAACTAAACACGCAAACTAGAATAAACCATTAGCCTGTAATAGTCTCCAGGACTGTTTTCACCAAGATGGAAGATCTCTTGATATGAAATGAGGCAAGTATGATTTAGAAGTCATAAATAGGCCGCATACTGAACTGAACATAAAATAAGGAAAGAACAAGGGTGCCAAAATAGATGAAACCCTCATTCTCAGGTCAAAGTGCTAATAATTGTAGTCCTCGCTGAGAAAGGCAAGCTCTGTATTAAATTTTTTGTCCTGGCATATTTTGGAAATGAAGGGAAGTTTCCAAGTCACGGATGCTAAACAGTACAAAGTGATGTTCTTCTGCCACTGCCCTCATTTCAACGCTGAGTTCATCACAAGAGAGCCATATGTTTTTATAAAGACTATATAAAACTACACACAGCTTAACAGCTGTTTTTCCCAGATTACCACCAAACCACACTAGTTTAGATCATCATCTTTCAAACTACCTGTGAAGTTATAAGAGTCGGGAGCCTGCAGAACTTATTCCAATGCTTTTTTAAGCTGACGCTCTGCAACTGATAGAGTTCAAGCACCAAACACTGCTTGAACATGACTCTAATATCACCCTTCTCTCTCTTCATTGCAATGAATTAGAATACAAACATGAGCATGTAAGCTCTCAAGAAAACACATTTTAAATTAAGTGCAACAGAGTTTCATAGCTGCTCACACTGTTTTATTCCTAGGTCATGTTTATCTACAAAGACAGAGGGTAAGGCATGGAAAATATGATTTTTGTAGAACTTTAGGGTTGTGTAAAATGCAAAGCTTACCTCTCCCTTGTGCTAAGTTCCTGTTATATCCTACAGGACTAAAGTACTCAAATATAAAGACAGCCATGGCAGACACAATGAGAAGCATCACAAACATCATCACCCAGACAGAAGCACTAAAGGGCTCTGCAGCAAAACAGACAAGAGAAACAGAAACACAGTTCATTAAACCAGGCGCAGCACAGCCCAAATTCTTATGTCTCCGGCTAGGCAAGCCCCGCGGCTTTCTGTAAATGAGCTTTTGACAACCAAAACGCTAGAAAAGAGCCAAGTATCAACATATAAAGAGATCAGTTGTCCTCAAACACTACAAGAAAGCAGGAAAATCTACAACCAGCTGCTGTTATTATGCACAAACTTAATACAGTTAAAATCTTCAATGTAAGCTGCAATTCAGAACAACGACTGCACACTTTTCTACTTTATGTGACAAAGCTTTAACTGACACCGAGTGGAAAATATTGATTTGACCCACTGCTTATTCAGTTCACGATTACATAAAGTATCCCATTTCTATACATCGTATGGTATGCACATTTATCAACATAACGGTCCAGCCAGTATGACTGTGTTTCAGCAAAGCAAGAGCAACTAAGAGCATATGTTTAAGACTTTTGGTAAAACAGCAAAGTACATATCTCTCTAGCTTTCTATCCAGCTTAAAGTGGTAGGAAGAAAGTCAACGGCTTGCATTAACATATTTTACGGTTCAGAAAACTTTTCTGTGTGTTCTTTTCCATCTACCTTCATTGAAGGTAGTTGTTTCTACGAAGGACAAACACATCCTTTTGCAAGTCTCGCTCTTGGCTGTGAGCAAATTTCTGTAATCAAGGCCCCCCCAGTAAGAAGTTTTTATGGAAAATGGAATGTCAGTTTGAAAGACAGAAAAAACATGATTAAGTAAAAGTAGATTTAAAGAGAAAACTAAAAAGCAGTTTCAAATCCCAGAACAGCAGTAATTATTGAAAGCATTGGATACGGTAATAGTATGTGATAACAGAAATAGGGAACAAGTTCTTAAATATCTTCTTTGCTCAATCACAAATTCTTCTTTTAGGAAACGCTGTTGTAGCTGTTATGGCATAAGGCTATTGAAGAAAGTGTTGTATGGCAAAGTGATATCCCTTTGTTAGGCTAGCTCGTTTAGGAGCATTTTATATCCTAATTCTGATAAATGCTGCAAGTGTTCTAAAGTGTGAGAAAAAAAAATCTTACCATACTATTTCAAATTAGAACAGAAACAAGAAGCACTGGAAGTGACATGAAATGCGTTTGTTCCTATGCTTTGACTGTTGCTGAAGGGCCAAGAGGTTCCTCCATCTTAACTTCTTCAGACTTTGGATTGAGATTGAGACCAGGAACCACTGAAAATACTTCCGTCATTATAGGAAATGATTGTGAGTGAGAGGTGAGGTAAAATGAGAAAAATGTAGGCCGATCTGAACTTTCCCAGAGTTAACATGAATGCATCACCCAGAACTAGAATGTAGCGTAATAATTTGGGCCCAAGTGTATAACTGATCATGAGATCAGTTGCCTTTGCTAGAATTTCTCCCGAAAATTGGAACCAAAAAGAACCAAGTTCCAAACAGCCCCACTCGTGATTTTGGATGTGTAAAGAGATAAAGTTGGGAACTTTCAAGCCAAACTGTTTCATTTCTGTTTTTAAGAGAAGGTTAAGGGAGGTTTACTATTTTTTAAGAGAGGCTACAGAGATATTTCAATTAATACAAATATTTGTTTCGAGGAGTATGGTAAGCAATCAAATAAGAGAAAATTCTTAAAACGTAGGGATAGAGCAGTTCAGAAGCAAGCAGAGGTAAATAACATTCTCCAGTCAAATATAGTTCAATGCAAATATTCAGTACACTGTATTCACTACAAACATTCTGTTAACTCACATATTACCTGGAATCATAGTAAATGAAAATTAAAGGGATTTGAATATGTAGTTAAATGAAGGAGAACAAAAACACTAGAAATAAGAGAAAAGATTTTACCAAAAAAAAAAAATTTGAGGAACCAGTTGGAATGGGAAAATATAGTGATAATTTGAATGCATTTCCATGAAGTGGAGACACAGCATTATCATATAACTTTTACAGTATTCTCATAGAAAAAAGAAAGACTTCAAAAATTCTTTTATCAAAAGTATCAGTGTAGAAATGCCAATAGCAATCTGTCAAAATCCAAATAAGGCAAAGGGCAAAACAAGACAATCCAGAAACTTGAGTGATAAACAATAGTTTAAGCAGAAAATTTTTTAATAATTTAAGTAGTCTGGTAAGGAGGTAGAGAATTAAAAGAAGCAACAGTAAAATAAAAAGCTATTTAGAATAGCAACTATTAAAATTGAACAAGTACAGAAACAATTGAATAATTAAGTTAATTTTCCTGTCATAGTATAGATCAATACATGGGTTCAGCATTGTCATTTGATTTGCAAAGAAAATTTCCCCCAGACAAACATCAGATTTTATAAGAATTTTCAGTACAGAGTTACAATATGGCAGAAAAATACTAGTATGTGAGTTGCTAGTACACATTTCAAAAGACCAGCAATGGAGAATACTGAGCACTGAACAAGAGGTCTTACTCCACAAACTTTTGACTTTTATCAAAAAAAAAAACCCTTACAAAATTATTATAGATGTATAGTTTTCCTATTCTGCCCATGCTTCCAAAGACAAAAACTGACCTTACCTATGAACTCTCTTGCTCCCAAACGCACAGAAGTTTGGATTTGGGTTTGCTTCATTTCGTTCGTTTGTTTGTTTCTAAATAAAGTTGAATGGAATCTCTACAGAATCTTTAATAATATATTTGTGGATTTGGTATATATGAATTTTGGTAAGATATGAAAATGTTTTAACACAAATAACAATTATCATTTATAGGAGACACCCACGTCAGAATTAGAATGCAACAAATAATGAGCCTGCAGTCGCCTTGACAGTGACTTAGATCTATTGGGCACAACCACAGGATAGAAAATCTGGTTCAGACAAAACCCTGTACTTGTCCACACTCATCATAACAAACTAAAAAGCCAGATAGGAATTATAATCAAGTGTTATTTAGAAAAATAATACTGTATTTCACATTTTTATGTCTTTTAAAACAATTATGCAAGATTGCTCCATTTTTATGCATTCACTTAAAATAAAACCTATGAATGAATTGAGTTACCTATCTGATAGTATTTTACTAGGCAAAGCATTTTACCACCATTGACATCTGATTAAAATACACAGTTAATTCCAGTTCAGTGACATTTTTGTCTATGTCTAAAAAAACAGAACGCAGTTCTGAGAACGCAGATTTGATTGGCACAGTAAATCAGATTTCTCCAAAAGTAAGGCTATTGTGTAGAGCTTTATAAGACAGGGGTTATTTTTTCATTTAAATTCCTATGCATGTCCAACTAAACCAATAATGTTAAATGTATTTTAGAAATCTAATAACTACGTTGTTGTGAAAAAAGCAAAAGCAGTCTCTGTTTTGATTGTAGCTGTAAGCAGGTTTTTAAGAGACAAGCAGATTCCATAGCAAACAAAAATCAACTGCACTTACAGTACCTTTTGGAAAATGCCACAGTACTTATAGTTCAAATTAAAACATGCAGCGACTACAATTTTAAGAATGAATTAACTATACAAGACAATGACTCACAGAAATGAAAAACAACTATCCAAATGTTTTCCTAGAAAGGATCCTCTTACAATTTTTATCAATCAGTCTTTTACTCAGAAAAAAAATTAACCACCAGCAAAAACTGTTTAGGTATCAGCAGGTTTGAGAAGTTATGTGATCACTCATTGTGTTTCATTCTTTGTAATATGCCTTTATGAAATAGGCATGAAAAATAAGCTCCGTAGTTAAATGACGATTCTGGTACAAGAAAATCCAATTATTTGCCCATCTGTATTTGATACTACACTAACGATCAGCTCCTCAATGACTACATGTGATTACAGCAGAAGTGAAGAACTCGGCAATCTAAAAAGAAACCATATGGTCAGTGATACAAAAAGGGCATCACTGCTGACCCAATGGACTTGAAGTTACTAAACTGTTTCATAAGACATCTGAGAAATATTGATTTTTTTTTTCAATTTCACTTGAATTATTTTAATGCCACTAGCAATATTTTCCTACGCAAAATATCTTTAAAAATACTGGCCCCCAATAAACAAAGGGAGACAAAACAGCATTTCCTCTGGACACTTCCGACCCATCTGAGATGGCTCATTCTCTTTTCAGCGTCAGCTAAATACAGGCTAACCACCAAACACGGAAGTGAACAATAAGTACTAAAATAAAGGCAGAAGAAAAATAATGAAAGGGGAAAAGGATAATAGAAAGGAGTGGTAAACAAGTGAAGGAGTGAAGACAGAAGTCTTCACTTCTTCCTATCCCACCTCCTTTCTATCCAGCCTTTCATGGCATCACTACTTCTCCATCGTTGAAACCCATCACCACAGCAGCTGGAAGGAAAGATAGAGAAAACATTCCGAAGTTTTCCAGTGGAGCATTATGATGCTCAGCATGGAAGCCATAGGCATCTGTTGTCAATTTAGCTGTCAGATCTATTTTAATTATAACAAAGTCTCCTTTTCTTAACTACTCTACAAGTTTTTTTATTATTATTATTATTTTGTGAACCTAAGTATTCAAAAGAAATTAAGTGATTATTAGCCAAACAAGCATAAATTAGAGCATATAAAAAGTTTTTGAGGAAGTACTTTTTCCAACACAAGGTTTTGGGGATTTTTTTTATAATGAAAACATTATCATTTGTTTTCTAGTTACTACACCTGAAGCCAACAGCATTTTCAACCTGCATTAGGCTCTTCACTCCTATTAATCAGGATGTCAACACCATACAAACTTCCTAATACCTAATTCAACACCTGATAGAAACATGTAAATACAGTATACTGGTTGATGAGCGGCGAAAGCTACCCAACTCTATAGAATGCAATTAAATGATCTGAAAGGGTTGGAGAATCATACCTAGAAAAGCAGAAGGTGAAACTGTGCCATTGCTCCGTGACACCATGACACTAATCCCCGTCTCAACAAACGGCACTGAAAAGTCAACCACTTCGGAGCGCTCTTCATTAATAGTGAGAGACCCCACAGCCATGACTGCACGATGATACACCACCTGATCGACAAAAAGACGACACCAATAGCATCACTCAGTAGAGAATACCACATCTCCAGATGAAGAACAAAGATTGCTAAGTTTTTACTTAAGAGCCTTTTTTACCTAACAGAACTTACTTCACCAATCATTCCATTCCACACATTATTGACCTTTTTGCCATGTTTCCCGTTAGTCACTAAATACAGGTCATACGTGAACTTGACAGTTTTAGACAACTTCTTCAAGATATCAATGCAGAATCCTTTGCAGCACTTCTTTACATTAGTTCCTTCATTAGTTGAGTTGCTGCCAACACACAAGAGAGACATAAACATATCAACTGTGAAAAACAGAATGACAACAGCAATTTTCAGCATATTGTACACAATTTTCTGCAAGCAGCTTTCCAAGATGAAATTACTTGCACACCAAGTCTAGTTTAATTTATTGATTTTTTTTTAGAGGTGGCATTTTTATTTTAAAAAAGAAAGATTTCTAATGTAAAGCAACATTTTGCCATACTTGTGAGGCACCATGTTTTTCTGAATCTATGTAGAAGTAATCCACAGGACGCTTTATATGGTGTTTGTAGTTTGTAGTTTATATGGTGTTTGTAGTTTGTAGTCATTAATCATATTCTGATTTTTTAAAATTACTCAGGAAGACAACTGAGTCCTAAAATATTTCTCATCTAAACAATTGCTACATGAAATGAAGCATAAGGCTCCTTTCCATTATTAAAATAATAATGTAGATTTATACAAAGCTTTTCAGACAGTTTCCAGGGCAAAAGAATGTTAAGTGTCTTTAGCTCACTTTTACAGATAATGTGACAGAGATAAAACATTGCAGTGGCTTGGCCAGAGATGAACAGAAGACATGGTAGACCTTGTAAGAGGTGCTTTCTGTTGTAGCGTCTGGCCTACTGAAACACTTCATTAACATGCCATAAAAACATACAGTCTCCGCTTTCTGATCCAACTATCTGTTTCAAACTCAGATTTGATGCTTAAGTTTAACATTTATTACTTTCACTCTTAAGACATAAGATCACATATCATTTAGTAATTACAGAACTTCCATAAGCTATGAAAGGCACAGCAGGCTGCCGTACTGAAAATGGATGTTGCACCTTTTCTTGCAGTTTGAAAAGGTGACTTTTGGCCTGAGTATTGCACTCCCTTTGAGTACGCAGACCACTGTGCAATCACAGAAAAGCACTGATAAGAGAAATCAGAGTCCCAAACTGTGACCAGTCATGTGGATCCAGGATGAGGACTTTCCCTTTACTTTTTTCTTAAATGCCCATTTCACGACCTCCAGAAATTTTCCGTATAAGTGTCTTGAGAGGCCAAAGTAATACTTTATAAGCTTTGAAGGAATTCAAAATTGAAATTAAAAAAATGGTTTAGAATTTGTTCAAGAAGTCCAGTTACGTCAATCAAAATGTTTCTCTGGACGTGAGCAAGTAAGCGCAATACCATTTAGCAGTCTCTGGAAATCTTCGCTTACGTGAATTAAACCCCTACCACCTGCTCAATTAAAGAAATGCAATTATTATAACCATTTCAGAAATATGTAGGTTGAAGCACAGAATGGTGCAACAATACTGATAAATGCACAGTGAGAAATTTTCCACTGATTTCTAACGATTACTCCACAACTATAGAGCAATCACATCAGTGAACTGTTTTCTAGCAACTATGTCACAGTGGTATTTTGCGCTGGTATGGTTTATCCTGTACCAAACTTAGGCATAAATATATTTTTCAATAGGAGGCATTCGCAAACTGTTAAAGACTAATTGACTAAAAGACTGTTAAAGACTAATTGACTAAAGACTGGCATTCGCAAACTGTTAAAGACTAATTTAAATGGCACATTTCAACATACCTGGAAACAATTCAAAGAGGACTTATTAAAACAGAACTCGATTTTAGAATCCACAGTCTTCTTCCACGTGACTGGAAAGGGCTAACTGTAGTTGATTTTGAATTTACTATAAACTTACTATCTGTTCATTAATTCAATGTGATTTGCACGTATTTAACCAGAAATGGAACTGATTCTCTTCCAACTTATTAAAATGAAAGACATATGCAAAGAAAAGCATACTGTGTGGGAAAGGGAGAAAGGAAGAGGAAGAAAAATACCATACCAAAGGAAAAGAAAAGATAGGCAGGAAGAGGGGGGAAAAGTAAGATGCAGAAAAAATCATAGAATGAAAGAAATAAGAATGAATGAGAAATTCATTCTCATTCATTCTCATTCTCATTCTCATTCAGAAAAAAGGGTTTTTTTGCAATTAAAAAAGGAGGAATATTGTGTATCTACTTACTTAATTTTGACAAATTTACGACATGGTACAGTGTTTTTTTGGCAAGTTTCCATCAAAGGATCCACATCCTCAACAATGACAAAGGGAGCCTCCTCCAGGGTGACAATACTCAAGTGGTTATCGTCTGGGTCACTGTCTGCAAAAGAGCTATACCTTGGCCAGACAGAGTACTTCAGACTCAGTGAGTTGTTCTCCCATTTTCCCACCTGAAATGTGAAGACACACACGCTACTGATACCGGCTTGCTTGTTTTTGACACATGAGATCTAACATTAAATGGGCTGGGATACGGTTATGGGAAATTATATTGAAAAGAAAGTTGTCTTAGATTTTTGCTATCAAAATTACTTTAGAACTCTTTAGTAATTGCATTAAGTGAGAAAATGCACTGCGGTAAAGACAAATAAGGCATTGCTATTTTAAGAGATAACAGCTTTATAAAGACTCAAGGACATCAGTTATCGCTATCTAACACATGGCTATAAACGCACTGAAATTTGACATATATCATTTGCGTTTGAACCAGAACAGCAAGCGACGCTCCATCTGCAATCAGGAGGAATTTGCAGTAGTAAGCAAACAAGCCTCAGCGCGAAGAGGGAGAAACCCCTCAAAAACCCACCAGACTGATGACCAAGCTATCAGAACATTATTTTTGTACCTTCTCAAAAGAGAAAGATCTTCAATTTATTACAGCTTTACAAGTTGTCTTTAGAGATCCTAGCATTTTACCTAGTACTGAGGTTCCATCACACCTGGCCCAGACCAAATTACATTTTTAGTGAACACAAATTGCAACTCTGCATAATTTAGATCTCAATAGAAATAATGTAATTTACTCTGCCTTAGTTAATGCCAAAAAAATCATAAAGGTACAGCAAGTAATCAAGCAAATCGCAACCCTTAAAGTAAATATGTACTTTTATTGCTTAGAGGGAATGCAAAAAAGTATACCCCACTTTAATTTAAACTTTTCTATGTATTTACTATTATAATTTTTTCTTCTAAATTAGCCCACATTTTTTTCAGCTGCCAGAACACCAGCAAGTAGCAAATGATTCATAAATTATTTAAATATTTTGAAAACTTCAGCATTTTCTTTTTCATATTGTGCTTAACTGCTATACATCTATAAATCTAATTGCATGTTTTATCTGACTAGTGGTGACAGACAATACAAATGAGCTAGCAATCCACAAAATTTATAAGCCAAGGCATTTTAATAACCCTTCAGTTACTTAAGCTAAACAAATTATAATCATGATACCGACAAAATATTTGTTTTGCAAGGAAAACAGGTTGAGATTAACAGTACATTATGAGACACTCAGGTCCAAAAAAGGATAAGAAATTATCACACCCTTCTAAAGCCTTAAAAATGAATCACCAAAATGCCTGAATATGATTTATATCTGTTCCTATTCAGGGAAACACAAAAGCACATACCCTTTGCAGTTTCCTTTCCATTCTGTTTATAAGGCAAGACGTTTTGCTAAGTTTTAAGGTAAGAAACAGAAATGTCAAATCTCTATACATTTAAGTTAGGAAATTCAAAATATCTTAAGAGAATTAGGAATTCATATGTATATGAGTGGGAGCTGGGCACAGGATTTCTGAATACTGCTTAGACAGTTCGAGAATAAAATTTAACCAAACTCAACAGATGAAGCCTTTGCGAGAAAACCAATTTCATGCACATGGAAACAAACCTATTTATCTCTGTATGAGACAGCTGCATTGTAAAAATTGATTCGTTGTTAAGTTATAGTATATAATCTCATTCACAGCAAAGTCTGTACCTGTGAACACTCACTTATGGAGCGCTCCTTATACCTGCACGCTAAGCGTCCCTTGAAGTTGGCCCACGGGAACGGGGAGAATTCCAGCCAGATTAGTACTTTAGCCTAATAAAGTGCAAACGTGCCAAGTGAAACATCAGTTTCAGCAGCGGAGAATGGAACCACGCACCCTACCACCTGCCTCTCCCAACTGGCAACAAGAATAGAAATGTGACAGGAATTCAATTGCATTTGTGTGTTTGGGAGCATGGCAGTGGCAGCACCTGCCTTTCCAGATCTCTAGCTACAGGGCAATGGGAGGAGGCAGGCAGCTCTGCATAATTCAGAAGCGTCTCTCCCTGCAAACCATCCCCTTGCAGTTGCATCGGTGTCATATGGAACAACAGGAAGAAGAGACGCTTGCAAGAATATGAGTTCATCTGATCCTGTCAAAAATATGACTGTTTGGTTATTGTTAAATGAGGAAACATGATACTCTGTGTATTTTAATTGGAGTAACTGCCATTTTACTGTTCTGAAGAGGACATAAACGGTGATATTTTTAAACAGCTCAATTTGGGGAAATGCTAATTTCCTTTAACAGTTGCATCTCTATGTATAAATGTTTTGCAGTGAGCAAGTCTCAAAAGTTAGATCCAAAATTTGTATCCGTTGCATTCAATGGATGTATCTCAACATTCACTCATTGCTACCTTATCTAAAAAATAATTAAAAACTAAGACCTTGCCTTCCTATTTCTCTGTCCAAACAGGTCTACCGCTGCAGTCCCAGGGTGTCAGGCTGACTTCATCTGGGCTTTATGCAGTGCACAAAGCACATGCCCATTGAAGATCATCCACTCTACCACTCTACCACCAGTATTGTGAGTAATCCACAGTGTCGGGAAGCATAATGAATAAAAAAAGTACAAGAGAAAAATTTCAATGTCATGAAGGGTGGTAGAAAGAAAACAGTACAACAGTTTGGAGAAAACCTTGCTGGTGGGCTAAGAATGACAAATGAGGAAGGATATTAATTAGAAAATGCCTGCAAGTCATTCTTCGGGTTTGGGAAATGTTTGTGCTAGATTTTGCCTGTTCTAATTAAGAAATACTTTGCACAGATGTTGTATTTGCTCTCTTGCAAATGCCAGACTCATAAGTGAAGAGTTTCCAGCTTTACTCGCTATTTCAGTTTCTAAATAGCTGTACTGTTGAAGAAGAGATGTTGCAATTCTTTCTACCAGCAACAGTTTTGGATGGTGACATCACTTTTTTCATATTCATTTATTTTAAATGGAGGATAAGACTTTCGTTTTATGCAAATATGGAAGGATTTTTATATTTATATTAATATTTGAAACCTTTTAGTTTGAGTAGGACTAAAAGTAGCATTGTAAATAAGGATCTGAATGGTATTAATTATTTATACAATGTTTTATGTCTTCATATATATTAAGCTATTTCAATATCCTTGTGCAATTGATAATACCTCTTTTTTACAGGGTGAGGGTCTGGAATAATACGGAATCAAACTGTAGCTTAAGCAAAACATGAGTGCGTTCCTGTTGAAATCAAGGGAATTCATGAAATGGAACCCATTTTTAAGTGTCTTGCAAGATCAGGGCTTATGGCAATTACAGAAAAGTCAGATCTAGTATTAGATCCAGTCAGTATCTGTTTTGAATGCTTTCCAAAACCTCCAAATGCCTTCAAAAAAAATTGCCACAGAACCTCATTCAAAAATCACCAAACTCGATAATCAAACATCAAGTTTCCTGAGAACACTTTCACATATTATAAAAACGTGAAGATGACTTCAAACCTGTGGGAAATGGCAGAATCACAGAACAGGTGAGATTGGAAGGGACCTCTGGAGACCTAGCAGACAGATCCCAGCCTGTAACTGGTGCATGGGTTTATTTCTCCCCGGGGCAGGACTTTCTACTTCCCTTTGTGGAACTTCATGAGGTTCCTTTTGGCCCATCTCTCCAGCCTGTTGAGGTCCCTCCAAGTGGCAGCACAACCATCTAGTGTGTCAACCACTCCACCCACTTTTGTGTCACCTGCAGACTTACTGAGGCTACACTCTACCCCATCATCCAGGTCACTGATGAAGACATTGGACCTCTTCCAGTCGCCACAGTCTTTCAAAGATAATCAAGAGTAGTCTCACAAAGATGTCAGTCAGCTCCCTCAGCACTCATGGAGGCATCCAGTCAGGTCCCATGGACTTGTATATACCCAATTGTTTGAACATTCCCTAACCTGATCCCCCTCTACTGGGGGTAAGTATTCATTGCTCCAGACTTTCCCACTGGTCTCAGAGGCCTGGGGTTCCTGAAGGCAAACCTTACCTATAAAGACTGAGGTAAAGAAGGCACTGAATACTTTGGCAGTACCATTCAGCAGTGGCATTATGTTTTCCCTTGCCTTTTTTTTGGTGCTGATGTGCTTGTGGAATCTCTTCCTGTTGCTCTTCCCATCCCTTGCCAGATTTAACTCCAGGTGGCCTGTGGCTTTCCTAACCCTATCCCTGCACACTCAGTGTCTCTATATTCCTCCTGGGTGATCTGACTCTGCTTTCACCTCTTGTGTGTTTCTTTTTTTGTTTTAGTTTGCCAGGAGCTCCTTGTTCATTCCTGCAGGCCTCCTACTACATTTGCTTGACTTCTTGCATGTGGGGATGGGCCATTCTTGAGCTTAGGGGAGGTGATACTTGAAAATCAACCAGCTCTCATGGAACCCTCTGCCCTCCAGGGCTGTCTCCCATGGGAATCTTCCAAGCAGGTCTCTTAAGAGGCCAAAGTCTGCTCTCCTGAAATATAGGGTTGTGATCCTATTTTTTGCCTTGTTCCCTCCTCTCAGGACACTGAACTCCACCATCTCCACCATGAGGTCAGTGCAGCCAAGGCTGCCCTCAGACTTCACAACCCCAACCAGTTCTTCCTTGTTTTTTAGTGTAAGGTCCAGCAGAGCATCTCCTCTCATCAGCTTCTTAATCAGCTGTGTCAGGAAGCTGTCATCAGTGCACTGCAGAATCCTCCTGCTTGTGCTCCTTGGAGCATTGCTTGTGCCCTGCTCCAAGTAGATATCAGGGTGGTTAAAGTCCCCCATGAGGACCATAGCCTTTGAACGTAAGGCTTCATCAACTACTTCTTCCTGATCTGATGGTCAGTAGCAGACCCCCGTGACATCACTCACATTGGGCTCCTCCTAATCCTCACCATCAGCTCTCAGTTGGCTCATCACCCACCCCCAGGCAGAGCTCCAGGCACTTCCACTGCTCTGTCACATAAAAGGCAATTCTCTCTCTCATAATACACTCAACAGTGCTTTCCATTAGCAGAGCTGACAAAGTATCACTTGAAGCTAACTTTTTGTCCTTCCGCATAAAGATTCCGTAATATTAAATATAATTAATTAAAA